TGAAGGGTGGTACGAGCACAACATGGCTCTCTCATTGTTTTTGTTGTCATCTTGTGAGCACAAAAGATCAAAGTCAGAAAATGGAGCAGCTACCTTGGTGTGCATATCTTGTGTTTTCCCTTATTTTTTCAAACATTCAAAACATGGTCCATGTAGTACATATATGTGTTTGGCTATTTGTAGCAATGTCTTGGCAAGGCAAATGAGGAGATTTGTGTGGGAAAATGATGGGAAAATGTTGTTGCATGACCAGCTTATGTAGCATGGAATAGAGGTCCAAGAATAATGCACTATGTAGCAAGTCAAATACCCAACTTTGAAGCATGATATCTCCATGAATTCCAAACCAAATTGATGAGATTTTTGCCCCAAATGCAAGTAGGGAATGCAATGAGAAACTTTCATGTTCACAACAAAATGAAAAGAAGCTTGGAAACATAAGGAAAATTAAGTTGAAAATTGATATACAAACATGTCCCAAATGACCTAGATAAATTCTAAGTTATTTCAATTTGGCAACTTGGGACTCTAGGTTTGAAGCCACATAACATGAGTTCTACTGATCCAATAAAAATGATCTTGTAATGGTTGGAAAGCTTGAAGAAAGCTCTTCAACTTTCATGTTTGAAGAAGATTGAGATGCCTCTTGAATCAATGAGAAAAAATGAGTGGAAGTTGTGTCCTCAAAACTGTCCAAAGTAACTTAGAAAAATTCTGTTATTTCATTTTTAACATAATTGAAACCTCATCTTTGAATCCTTATAACTTGAGGAGTTTTGATCCAATGGAGATATTCTAGTAATGGATGGAAAGCTTGAAGAATGATCTTCAACTTCCATGTTGTGGGAAAACTTAATTGAAGTCAAGAACTTGGTGAAAAATGTCTTGGAGGTTGGGTTGGAAAATATGTCTAACCACCTACCACTTTTGACAAATTTGAAATCCTAAGTTGAGAGCATCATAACTTGAGCTCTACACATCCAATGGAGATGATCTAGTACTCAAAAGAAAGCTTAGAGGATGATCTACAACTTTCCTTTTGTAGAAAAATTCAAATGGAGCTTGTATCACCATGAAAAGTGGGCTTGAAAGTAGGTATTTCAAACTGAATTTTTATACTTAGAAAATTTTCTAAGTGTAGAAATGTCATAATCTCCTTTTTCTCAACCTTGACTCATCATATCTCCTAAACCATGAGTCTTTTGGACATGCTTACTTCTGCAAACTTGTAGTTCATGATGCCTTCTTCAATTTGATAGCTAGTTTGCCTTCATTGGATCAAAAATGAGAAAGTTATAGAAGTTGCAAGATGACTAAAATTAGGGTTTTTCACACTTAGAAAAATTTCTATCAAAACCCTAATTTAGTCCAACTCTTGATTTCATGTTTCTCCTTGATTCTTCTTGTTCCAAACTCATGAAATCACATGAAAAAAAATATCATGCCCTTGATTGGCCTTGAAATTCAAAATTTTGACCTAATTGAATCACAATTGACTTTTGTTGACCAGATGAAATCCTAGGATCATTTCCATTGATTGAGGCTCTTGTGATGACTTGAGATTATATATAATCCATACAAAGGACCCTGAAGGTGTGTGTTGAGTTTTAGAATCATGTCTTGCCCAAGGAACTGGCCACAAACCTCCTTTGAACCAAACTCTTGACTTGTTGTCCATGATAAAAGGAGAAGAATCACTGCTTGCCTTTTTTATTCATGTGGTGGAGTGTCATGCCTTGATGATGATGGAGACTTTGTAACTTGATATTGCCACAAAGTTGAGCTTGAGCTCTTGATTGAGTTTTGAAGATGAAGCCCTTCTCTTGATTTTATTGGATAAGATGCCTTAATCCCTATCTAAGACCAATGCTAGGTGCAAGCGATATTGAAATGGAGGTTAGAGGTCAGGGTGAAAAATAGAGTGTGACAATCATCCACCTGAAATCACTACATTCTTTCAATTACCTCTCAAAGTGAATCAACCACCTTCAGACAGACCTCCTAACACGAGTGTTAGAACCAAGCCATGCTCACTGAATTACAAGCCCTGCAGGCTAACAACACTTGGATTATGACATCACTACCACCAAACAAGAAGGTAATATAGTGAAAATGGGTGTACAAAATAATAAACATGTTGATGGCTCTATAGAAGTGTACAAAAAATAATTAGTTGCCAACGGATACACATAAACCAAGGGCATTGATTACATGGACAATTTCTCTCTTGTTGCTAAACTGACCACTGTTAAACTCCTCTTAGCAACTGTTGCTTCCAAAAAATGGCACCTTATCCAACTTGATGTGAATAACACCTTCCTCTATGGTGAACTTGAGGAGGAGGTCTACATGACACCACCTCCAGGCTTTACTCCACCCATTCCTGAACATGTTTGCAAACAACATAAATCATTGTATGTTTAAAACAAGCCAATCGATAATGGTTTTTCAAGTTATCTATCCTTCTTGTTTCTTGACAGTACAACCAATCTGCCTTTGACCATTCCTTCTTCACCAAAATTAATGGTTAACACCACACTATTTTAATCATTTATGTTGATGACTTGATTCTTTCTAGTAACGACTTAGAAGAAATACATAATTTAAAATCCACAATTGACATTATATTCAAAATTAAAGACCTTGGCAATCTCCAATTCCTATTAGGCATTAAAGTGGTTTGATCCTCACTTGGCATCTCCATTTGTCAAAGAAAATATGCACTTGAATTACTTCATGATACATGCCTCATTTATGCCAAACCTGCTCTTACACTTATGACAAAATCTCACAAATATTTTTTTCTGATGAATCCTTTCCTACTGACCCTACTGCCTATAGAAGAATCATAGACAAGTTAATTTATTTATGCACCACTCAACCCGATCTTAGTTATTCTCTCCAACAACTTAGCCAGTTCATGTAATCCCCACCACTCATTTGCAAGCTGACTATCGAGTAATACGTTACATAAAAGAATCTCCATCTCAAGAATTATTCTTCTCATCCAATTCCATTATTCAACTCAAGGCTTTTAGTGATTCAGATTGGGTCTAATGTAATGACACTCGACGTTTCATTACGGGTTTCTCCATATTTTTAGGAGACTCTCTCATCTCTTTGAAATCTAAAAAAATAAATCGTATTTCTCTCTCTTCCTCTAAAGTTGAGTATCGAGCACTCACATCCACTGTCTATGAACTACAATGGTTGACATACCTGTTAACTAATTTCAATGTTCAATTCACAACTCCTGCACTCTTATATTGTGACAATCAATCCACTCGTCATATCGCTACCAATGCCATATTTCATGAAAGAACAAAACACATCAAAATTGATTGTCATGTTGCCCGAGAGAAACTCAATGCTAAGCTATTTCACTTATTGCACATTCCTAGCTCTGCACAACTTGCATACATTCTTACAAAATCTCTCAAGCCTCAATCTTTTCCTTGATCTTATCCAAGCTGAGTACATCAAATAACTTCGCACTCCAACTTGAAAGAGAATATTGAATATCATTATATGTTAAGTTAATTTTTCAGTTATAATTGTTACTCGATTCTCCTACTTTTTAAAAATGTTAATTATTTGAATTACTTAACATACAAGTAACCTAAATTTGTATATATATTTGAATGAATAATGAATGAGTTAAGAGTCTCAATGTTTCCCATTGTATATATATTTGAATGAATGATGTATGAGTTAAGTCTCAATGTTTTCCATTTAATAGATTACACATATTGTATTGTGAATTTTTTATTATTCTTCCCAATTGATTATCTAAAATTAAAATATATCAATAATAGAAAGAAAAAAAGAAAAAAAATACAGAACCCAAATTACCTTATATTGTGAAACAAAAACCACCCAAACACTAATCCATATGAGTTCTTTTGTTACCTCTTCTAATGATAATTCCAAAATATGAAAGAAGTGAATGCAATACAAATTGCAAAGCCTAACTAAGGCATAGCTTCACTGCACTTTTCTCACTGTTTCTTCATACAATTCATAAAAAACATTTAATTATTATCATCATTATAGTTCACATAAAAAACCACTCAAAAATTGACACGTGTGGACTCCATTTTAAGGTATATGACGACGTTCTGATACACTAGCTCTACCTCTGTGAAAAACACTGTAGAAAATGACAAGTTTTTTTCTTTATTATAGCCTTAGCTGTCTCCACGCGCCATTGTCCACCACATAGATTCCAATCTAAACCAAAACACACCCTTCGTGTATCACACGCGCTTCTGTTGCATCTTGGATACGTTTTTCCTTACTATAAATACCATAACATAGAAAAGCATGGGAAAAAGAAATTTACATGAAACTAGAAACCCTAATCTAGGTTCACTTCAATATTTTTTCCGGTGGAGATTTTAAAAAGTAAAATAAATAAATAAAATTTTAATATTTTTTTTTTGTGTTAATCTCACAGTTTATTTTGATTATTTAATTTAAAAATATTTATTCTAATTTTTTAATTCTTCAAAAATGTACAATATTATTAATTTTTAACATATTAAAAAAGAATTTAGCAATTGAATCTACATTTTTTCGTATATTTTAAAGAATTAAATAAATATTTTATAAGTTAAGAGATATAATTAAATTTAAAAATTAATCTAAGAAACTAAAAAGAGATATTAAGCATAAAAAAAAAAAAAGAAAAAAGAAAAATCCAAAGGATAATAAAAGGGAAAGGTTAGAGAGTACAATAACATAAAATGCTATACTCTTTCTTTCCTCTATAAAATATCTCATATTTTTCCTCAAAGTTTTCTTGTTTCCTCTTTCTAGGGCTTCAAGTTTTGTTTTCAACTTGTGAAGTATTAAACTTTCTATTGTTTTCACAAATATGGTTCCATTAGGGTACTGACCCAGAAAAGAAGGATCATCCTAAGGTACCAAAGTGAAAGAAAGAGGAAAATATTGTTCAAAAATAGAAACAAAAATTAAAAAATAATTGTTGAAAAAAAAAGATGGGAAGAGGAAGAGTTGAGTTGAAGAGGATAGAGAACAAGATAAACAGACAAGTTACATTTGCAAAGAGGAGAAATGGTCTTCTTAAAAAAGCTTATGAACTTTCTGTTCTTTGTGATGCTGAGGTTGCTCTTATCATCTTCTCTACTCGTGGAAAACTCTATGAGTTTTGCAGCACTTCTAAGTATGAATCTCTATCTCATCATTTTTTTATTTATAATTTTATAATTTTTTTGAAGCAATTTCTCTTTGTTCACATATTAGATCTACATCTACTTAATTTTTTCATATTATTTTAATTTTTTTAAATTTAAATTCACACAAATTTATAGCTTCTTAAATTATTTTTATCATTTTTTCAAAAAAAATATTTTCTTTCTTGGTTGAATATTGATGAAACTGATAACAGATTTATCAGATCTAGTAAGATTGTACATGATCTGATGAATATCTAAAATGTTTATGTCCTTGGTACGGTTACTTTTGTTTTAGATTATTGTTTGACTGTGTTTTTTTATTTATATATTTTTCTTGGATTTATTTTATTTTTATTTTTATTTCTAGGTTTAAAATTTTCATTGAAACCATGCTTTTGGTTCTAAAATATTCTGGATCAAGATTTTTTATTTATTTTGCTTTTCCTGTTTTCATTGAAAACCTATAGTTAGGTGATTCTTTTCTTGCAGAAAGCTTTAAAATGTTTCTTTCTGGATAACACTAACTACTTCTAGTTATTACACAAAAATTCCTTTGAAGAAGAGACTAATGCTTTTTTTGTATAAAAATTAATTGAATTTTTTACTTAAATTATAATATTTTTGCAGAAGCTATTAGATAATAGATAGGGTATGGATTATTATTATATCTAAATGTAACAGTGTTTGTACAAATTTTCTATTTTATTATATTTTGTTGTGATTTTGTAAATATAATTTTTTTATTAGATTCATTGTAATGTATAATCTATATAATATTTATCATCTAAATTTTTTTTTTTTTTCATGAAAACAGCATGCTCAAAACTCTTGATAGGTACCAGAAATGCAGTTATGGAGCTGTAGAAGTTAGCAAACCTGCGAAAGAACTCGAGGTATCGACTATTTGCGATTATTAATTCGTAATACTAAGTATTACATTTTTTCGACTAATCTTGCAATCTTCGGTATATAATGTAATTACGATTTCTATTTCTATTTATTTATTTTTGCGTTCGGTTGAAGCAGAGTAGCTACCGCGAATACTTGAAGCTGAAGCAACGATTTGAGAATCTTCAAAGAACACAGAGGTGAATTTCACCATTAGAGTATTTTCGATCGAAAATAGAAAATTTATATAGATCAAGAAAATTTAATCTTTTTTAGTATAAATTGTATGTATGTGTTTGGAATATTTCAGAAATCTTTTAGGGGAAGATTTAGGTCCATTGAGTTCTAAAGATCTTGAGCAGCTTGAAAGGCAATTGGACTCATCTCTGAAGCATGTTAGGTCAACAAAGGTGTTTATTTATGTGTAAAATTTCTGATAATTTTTCATCTAAGTTTATAGATAAAGTTGATTAATTTCACATTTTTCTTCAATGTATTCATTGTTTAATTTACTCTTAAATGTTATCATGATTTTCTTTTGGTTATTTTGAATTGTTTGTAACATGAATTTGCAGACACAATTCATGCTGGATCAATTAGCTGATCTTCAAAATAAGGTACATTGTTTTGAAGTATATGTCTAAAGAAATTAACAAATTAAGCAAATTAGAGAGTGCTTAGTGATTTTAATCTTTTTTTTACAGGAACATATGTTGGTAGAAGCAAACAGATCCTTGTCAATGAAGGTAAAAACTCCATGCTAATATCCATGATTTTTATCCATGATTTACATAGTTTAATTTGTTCGGTCATTCAGATCCGTCTCAAGTTTTTGAAATCAAAATCTCTGCGTTGCGTAAGTTAGCTGCTGTTTAACCATGATAAAACAATTAAAAAAATTTATTTAAGCATAATTTAATCATGACAATATTTTAAGAGGTTATTTAGCCATTCTAAATTATGCGCGCTAGTCAGCCTTCTGCGTTGTGATTGCAGTCAATCATATCTTTGTTGAAAATAATTCTACTCGAATAACTCTCGACCTTCCTACTATGTTACTGTCGTCAGATATTCAACCTTTCGTCAGATATTCAACCTTCACCACGTATTTTCCATATAGTGCTCATAGGTCTCGGATGATTGCTCCTGAGGTTCAACCCTAAGCCCTATCGAAAATGTTCATGATACTTCCAAACTCGACGTCGTACCGAATAGACTCAGATAGATCATCAACTATGATTGAAATTTAAACCGATTGAAACAATTGAATCATGATTCGAGGTCTTAACGGTTTGATCATATGAGTTTTTCAGGACATCTTCAAACATAGTCCTTTCATTCCTTTTTCCGACGATAAATATGATTCATACGACTAAAATCATGTTTCAGTTGGACGAAATAAACTCCAGAAATCAGTACAGGCAATCATGGGAAGCAGGCGATCAAAGCATGCAATACGGCGACCAACAGAACGCTCACTCTCAGAGTTTCTTCCAGCAACTGGATTGCAATCCAACCTTACAAATCGGGTAATATATTATAAATTCAAATTTCATTTCGCGTGAAAACTTCATTTCTTTTCGTTTTTACACACATTTTAACTCGTGTCCATTCGATTCAGTTCTGATTATAGGTACAACAATGTAGCATCAGATCAGATAGCTTCAACAAGTCAAGCTCAACAACAAGTGAACGGATTTGTTCCTGGATGGATGCTTTGAATGAAGCAACTAAAAGAGAAAAAGCCAATTAAAAGTGCTTTTTTTGATGCTGGAAAAGCAATGTGTAAATGATTATGATGCTGATGATGCTACTTTGCTTCTTTTCTTTTTTGTTTTGAGGTATAAAAACAGCTATATGACTTACTTGAAGCTGTTGCTAAACCTTTAGCCATAGACATATATGGCATTCAAGAAATTTATAATATTGAGCATCTTTAATTCAATTAATGTTTTTTTAAAAAAATAGATTAATGACTGAAATTCACATTTTGAACGTTAATGAATAGAATGTCTCGAGTTCAAACTCGCGTTGTTATATCTTAGGTGAGGTCTCTATAATGCTTTTGTTTCTATTTTGTTTGGACATATATTTGGTGAAATGAGTTTCTATTGCAAAATATTATGTGTTAACACTAAAAATGAGAACATGACCAAAATTGATTAGGTGTATGGAGCTAACAAATTGACTATAAGAGTGTAAGATTGATTTTGATAGGTTTAATTATTATAAATATAATTAATTTTTTTTATGAATTGGTTCTTATAACTAAGATCAGTATGAGCTTAAACACAATGTAGTATTTAAATTTATTGTTGAATTCATTTTAAGGTAAATATATCCAATCATAATTTTATTTATATTCAAATCTTTATGAGATTAATTCATTCAAAGTTAAGTTTGAAGTCAAATTACTTTTTCAGTATTAGTGTGATTTCATCTCTATTTTGATGTTTTGCTGCATTTTAGATATTATAATTTTGATTTATCAGTTTGTCGAATTTTCGATATACTATTTATCATAGTTGTTGTGTCTAATAGGGATCCATAGATCCCTCTTAGGTTGAAAAAACTCAATGTTTTTATTTATTTATAAATTGAGCATTCGGTTTTATGAAACCAATCAATTTTTATCGATCTGTAATTTTTATCGATCTGCAGTAAAATCTGTGATATTGTATGAGTTAAAATGTTGGGCTCCTAAGAATTAACATGTGAAAAAAGTAAGTGTAACAGAGATGAAGAAGTTGTGTTGGATGTGTGGTAAGACTAGACATGATAAAAATAAAAATGACAATATCTTAGAGAGTGTCGGGGTAACACCTATAATAGAAAAGATAGTGGAGAATAGACTTCGATGGTTTGAACATGTAGAGAAAAAATATGTAGATTTTATTCTAAAGAGAGTATATCAGATGGAGATGTGTCAAATAGCTAAATGTAGACAAATATCTAGGAAAACTATCAAAAAAATTATTAAGAAAGATCTCGATATTAATAATTTAGATAAGAACATAGTCCTGGATACAACATTATGGCGAAAGTTGATCCATGTAAATGACTCTACTTAGTAAGATAAAGCTAGTTTGTTGTTGTTGAGCATTTAATTAAAAAAAATTATGATTTGAATCACAAGTTAGAAGATTTGAAACAAGATTTTGTTTAAGCTTGATTCGAGTCACAACTTTATCTGACTCTTGAGTCACGAGTAAATGAGGAATTTGGAATTTGATACTAAATGACGTGATTCCATTTAAGGTATTGATCGACTCAAATCAAAGGCGCCTTGACTCGAGTCATAGCCATGTTTGACCCGAGTCATGAATGTACTCAATCTTTTGGATTTCGGTTCTAGAATTGTGACTGACTCAAATAAAAAATTCAAGTCATGACTAATCAATTATGTCAAATTTTTATTTTATGATCTTCATCCAAATCACTCTTTCATTTGACTCAAATCATAATTTTGGATTCTGACTCTTAAATTATCTTGCAAGTTTTTTCACCTATTTTGTACTTTATCTATAGCATGTATAAAAAGAAAAAATTTCTGTTTAAATTAACAATTTAGTTTTGCAAAAATCATTCATTTTTGAAAAAAGTTTTTGCATTCACTCATAATCAGGGAAAAACTAGAATATTTTTTTTGTCAATATCACAAAATTTCTTTCAAATCATCTTTGAAGAAAAACTTCTTTAGTGAATTGATTTCCTTAGTGTAAACAAGTTATGTGTGAGATTCTTAAATAAAATTTAATCTTCAACCTTTATCCAAAACATCATTATTGTGTTTGATCAACTCTAAGTGAGCTGCCACCGTAAGGTACATTAGAGGGCTCTAATATTTTTTATGAAGTTTGTTTGTGCTTTTAGATTAAAGAATTATATTTTATTTGTGAATTCTAGAGATTGACATCTAATTAAGAAAAATAAGACTTTCTTGTCTGAGGGAATTTCGGTAGGGTCGAGCGAAGATCGTTGTAGACGAAATCTTAGATTTACTATCTTCTTTACTAGTTCTTTGTTTGTTAAATGGTACACTACGCCAGAAATGACTTTTAGCAGCGCAACAAAAGACAGCGCTTTCTAAAAAAGCGCTGCTAAAGGGTCATGAAAAAAAAAACAAAAAAATAGCATATCTAAGACAGCGCTTGTTAAAAAAGCGCTGCTAAAGGGGGGGGGGGGGTCAAAGAAAGCGCTTTAAAAAAGCGCGGCTAAAGGGGGGGTCTACGAAAGCGCTTTTAAAAAAGCGCTGCTAAAGGGGGTCATAAGGCAGACCTATAGCAGCGCTTTTAAAAGCGCTGCTAAATGCCAAAAAAAGCGCTGCTAAAGGGGGTCCTAAGGCATACCTATAGCAGCGCTTCTAAAAGCGCTGCTAAATGCCAAAAAAAGCGCTGCTAAAGGGGGTCCAGCGCTGCTAAAGGGGGTCCTAAGGCAGACCTATAGCAGCGCTTTTAAAAGCGCTGCTAAATGCCAAAAAAAGCGCTGCTAAAGGGGGTCCTAAGGCATACCTATAGCAGCGCTTTTAAAAGCGCTGCTAAATGCCAAAAAAAGCGCTGCTATAGGTTTAAGTAGCATAAATTTAAAAAATTCCAATATTTTCACAAAATCAGAATAGTCTTCTTCTTTCTTATTTCCACTCGCGAACGTTGCCCTATTCAGAATTAGAACAGTCACCGTCGACGCATTCCGTCTGCGCCTCCGTCCGACAGCCTTCGTCCGTCGTCTTTCCTCCGGTCATTCCGTCGTCACCTCATTTTGCCGCCGTCCGTCCATTGTTACGGTATTTGAAGTTTTTCATTTTGCATTTTTCTGGATTAATGTCTTAGTATTTCATTTTTTTGGATTATATGATGTTAGTGTTACTTCTTTTCTGAGTTTTTGACTTGTTTTTGTTGATACCGTTGATGAAAATTACTCGTTTGATATTGGCTTGAGTTTTGTATACAAGGTGTTTGTTGAAATGCCACAATGAATTTACTTATGTTAACTTTCATTATATCTAGCCGTATACAAGGTGTTTGCTGAAATGCCACACCTTATATGAGTTCTTTTTACTAATAATTTTTATAAGGGAAATACTGCACATATATTCAATGATTTTTTAGATTATGTTGCTTTAGAAACTTCACATTATTTGTGATTTAGATGAAAGTTTTAAGTTTCTGTTAATCTTGAAATTTATTTATTTTTCTTAATCCTTATTTTTCTATGAAATAGTCTAAATTCACAAATAATCCTTATTTATTTATTAAATTTTAAAACATAAATATATAGATCCGACTACTTTTTTGAAATAAAGTTTGTTTGGCGAGTTACACAACATTTAATGAATTCACGTGTCTTCATGAATGTGGATATAGTTTTAGAATGTATAGATCATTCATACAGCTTTATGTTTGTATATGTATAATGATGTTTGATGTTGCAGCATTACATTGTATCAAAATCTATATTTTGAGGGACTATATCTTTCGTCTTCTTCAATTGCAAGTGCCATGATCAATCTTATTCCCGAACTTACATTTTTAATAGCAGCCTTTGTAGGGTAATTAATACTTATGATATAACTATTATTCTATAAACATATAACATTTCACCCTTATATATTTTTCAGGTTCCAGTTTACAAAAGTCATCCTAATTATTTATCATTGTCAGCTTGGATGTGTTTCATTTCAACATTACAATCAGCCGTAGTGACAGTATTCTTGGAGCCAGACCTTAATGCATGGAAGATTAATTCTCTATTTCAATTTGGTTCCACTTTATATGCGGTAATTTTTCATGATGATACGCACCAATATTTATACATCATAATCCTAGATAATTTGTAATAAATATATTTTGTAGGGAATTATGGGATCAGCGGTTATGTTTTGTCTTCAAGCATGGTGCATAACACAGAGAGGACCTCTTTTCTCTGCATTGTTTAGCCCTCTTGTGACAGTGATTGTGACTGTATTGGCTGCTTTGGTACTTCATGAGGAAATATATATTGGAAGGTAATGATAATGAAGATTAATTCTATAAATACATATTTAATTATTAATCTGATTAACAGAAACTTCAAATAATGATAAGAACTGAAAATTTCATAGAAATCTAGTACTTAATGATCTACATGGGCCTGTTCAAGTGTATTGTTACTTATCTATTATTGTTTTTGCTTGTGCTGTTGTTTAGATGAATCATATTCTATTGAATTAAGCTTGGAAGACATTCAATTGAATAATGATACAAAGCTTGAAGAAAACCGTGTATTTGTGGCTGATAGTGAACTCCATGCAGTCTCATACAGAATTCAATAGTCAAGTAAAGATTGTTAAGTTTATTTCTTCCTAATGTGACATCTGATATTGTATCTATTTGTAAAGTTATCAGATTTGTAATTATATGTGAATTGATTGTATATGTGATTTTGTTCTGAGGATCGGACTGTGTTGTAATATATTTAAGCAGGTTTATGTGTATAATATTTCAAAGTGATGAATTATAATGTATACTTTAGTTATTGTGTATAATATTGCAAATTGATGAATACACAAAAATAAGGCCAAAATAATTGTTATATATAAGGCCAAACTGTTGAACTAAAGACCTGAATTATAAGCAGGTTTATTGAAAAATATATAAAAAATGTGATTATTTTTAAAAAAAAAAATTCAAAATCGTGAAGAATAGACAGCGCTTTTAAAAAAAGTGCTGCTAAAGGGGCAAAA